ACTGAGTGAAGAACTAACTTATTCCTTGTGGAGAGATAACTCCAAATGACCCCTAATGATGGCAGAAGCTAAAATGTCATAGCTCAAGTCATAGCCACAAAACACCCAAAGACAGTTATTGAGTAGAATTTTGTCTTTTGTAGAAGAATCATACAAATTAAACCCCTCAAATTTGAATTAATAAATGATATAAAGACTAAGAGAATACTTAATTTTTCAAACTTAAAAAAATGTGGATTATAAACTCAACTTCAGGTTGTTCCCTTTCTTCTCAGGTGGATAGGATAAGCAATGACTTAACAGTAACCATTTATGCTTCTCAGCACCAGTTGGTACAATGGATTTACTGAGAAAAATCTACCAAGTTGCAACTACAAGCTTTCTATTATAACAAATTCTGGATGATTCATGGTTTCTTTTAATATGCCCATTTGGCTCCAGGTCTCTACTTAGCAGGGGCACATTTGTTTAACAGGGAATAATAGATTATCAGAACAAGCTAGGAAAAAAAAATCTTAGACTATAGAGATTAATGTAGCATAAAGAATTTACAGGTAATTTTCTTTCTTTCTTTTGCCATCCATGGACAAGAGCCAAAAATTATCCTACACAGGACATTAAAAGTAAAAGGTACGAAGTAGTAAACTTGATTTTTTACTTTGGCTTCTTAGAGGATCTTCATCAGTTTATATTAACAACTTTTAAACCTGCCAATTTCATCTTTAACATCGGGTATTTTGAATAGTAGATTGTTTTTCTTTTTAATGAGAACACAAGTCCTATTTCCAAATTCATATGAAACTATTCAGACTAAACTAAGGGACCTAAAATTTGAGAGTATTTCTAAAGAGATGATATAGGGATATTCAGAGGGCCAAGTTTCATTATAATACTTTGTTTCCTTAATAAGGAGGAACCTGGAATCACAACGGAATAATTAAATGACTGAGGTTTTTTTTCTCATAATCATATTATATCTCCTAACGCTATCCTCTAATCTTCCCTTTGGACTACATTACCTACTTATATGGAACTTTGAGGTTTGTTTTGTTTTGGCAATGATCAGAAGGTGAGATGATCATTTTACAGGAGAGAACTTTGGATTCCTCTACTAGTGGTTTCTTCAAATTGCTGGTCTCCATTCGTTAGTGGTTCATTGTATCCATTTAGTGAGTTGCCATCAGAATTTTTTTTTTAAAAACATTGAAAATAGTATTGGCTATAGTGAGTGTAAATGTTGAAACCTTGTTTCCATATGTATAGATGCATGCAGAATCAAAATTACTTTCCAGTTTGAAACCTTTAGCACTAGTGGGCTATAGTCAGCGGAAAGGATTAGGGGTAGGTGATAAGGCAAGGATGAGTAAATGCAGGGTTGGATCCTGTCTCTATTTAAATTCTAATATTTTGTTCATCATGGATTTCTTTGGATAGTTTTGAGTTTTAAAAGTGCTCTGCATTAAAATACAATTGATTTTTGATTACTGTGCTTTTTGATGTCCCCTTAAATTTTGTGCCTCCAATGAGTGCCTCCCTTGCCTCTCTCTCCCCAGTCTTGCCCCTGACTGTCAGAGTGCTTTCTAGAAGGGCATGGAGAGGGCGGGTGAGCCTGGGACATCGCAAAGACGAGACACACATGGGGATGAGAAACCAACAATGTGTGTGGTGTCTGCTCCTTACTCTATGAGGCAGGAGGTGAAAGTCAGCTAAGAGTGAGGAAGATAGGCCTTGGGAGAGGCGGGGAAGACAGCATGGCTGGTGAGGAGAGTAGGAGAGAAAGAAGGCCCCAAACAAGTAAAGGACGGTCACATAGCACAGAGCGCCTGCCAAGGCGAGATATGGCCGTCTGCAGTGATGCGTTACAGCCAGCCTGGTGCATTACGGTTACGCTTCTCCAGCAGGCCCTCAGGTACAGGAGCAGAGAAGGCAGGGTGACCCGAGGACTGGGGTTGCTGGGATGGAAAGACAGGAACCAGGGAGAGGAGGGCAAAGGTGCCAGGTGATTTCTCACCTGAGACAGGGAGGTGGGTAAGAAGGAAAGTCTTACTGAGTGGAGCTTGCTGAGTGGGGTGGGGGGCTTCGGGGCAGGCAGGTGGGCAGAGGATTCTAGATGAATGTTTAGAGGTTGTGGTTGAAGGGTGAGTCCCAGAGAGTGTGTGTAGAATTCAGAATTTCAGAGGAAATGCACTTCTAAGTGAAGCCAAATAAAGGACTTTCTTGCTGATAAGTTGTCCTGTGTGGGGGGAGAGGAGGAGGTAATATGAACACAATGGTATATACATCATAAAATAAGGGTTCATTAAACTCCTGAGTGTTGTGTGTCTACTAAATAAGATGTAGAAGTATAGTGTCCCTAAGATTAGATGTTGTTAATGTATTACAAAAATGGCCAGAAACAGGGGACAAGAAAAAAATGGATGGACAGAAAAATGTGTGCATTTTTAATTTCAAACCCACTGGCTTTAGTTAACAGCACTCAGCCCCAGGTCTCAGATTCACTATTGCTTCTCCCCCTGGAAGATGCCTTCCCCAGCCTCCACCCAGCTCCCAAATGGGGCTGGTCCATGCTCAGAGCCTCCTGTGCTCCCAGCACAGCTGTCACTACGGGTCCTACATCTGTCTTCCCACCCAGAGCTCAGTGACACGGCCTTGCCTGTCCTGCCTCCTGACTCTCTCTCTACCCAGGTGTTACCCCATCTTCATTTCCTGATGAACTCGCCTTTTAAAATAGTTCCTTTTCTCTCTGACTTCTCCCTATTCTCCTTCCTGGAGTCTAGTTTCCTCCAGGCCTCTCTGCTCACCTCTCCCCGGAAAGCTCAAATTCATAGCAGCCATCTTCTTCACGCTCAGTGCCCTCTGTCTTCGGTCCTGTCTCCCTCCAGTCTCATTACCTGCTGGACTTTACCTGTTGTGTCTCCAACACCTCACACTCAATGCAGATCTAAAACCAAACATGCTCTCCCCTCACCGTAACTCAGGAAACCAGTTTTTGTTTTCCTTGAAACGGTCTTTATCTCTTCCTTTCCTCCCCACTTCCACCACCCAGGCTGGGCCCTCCTCACCTTATCCTGCTTCAACATGAGGCCCTGACAGAACCCGTGTCCTCATCTGCAGACACCTTGCATCCACCCCGCATGCCACTGCCAGATTAATCCCTTTTGCAGAAAGCTCAATACGTACTGACAAGGGAGTTATCATTAAAAACAAAAACACAAACTTCTGTGACTTCCTGCTGCCCTTGGCACTCCCCGGCTCCTCAGCCTTATTTTCAAGGTTCTCTGTAAGCTCCAACCTCACTGCTTTCTAATTCAGGCCTGTTTCTCTAATATTGGCCACGTTGCCATTCTTTCCTTGCTTGCCTGAAACAAGTGGTTTCTCTTCCTGCAACCACCCAAATCCTACTCATCCTCGGGTCCCCCTGATCCTCTGTCACTGATGTCTACTCCTAGGGTCAGTGTGCCTGCAGCTGGCATTGCCCAAACTAGCACTGACACACCATCTGTACCTTACTGTGACGTGCCGACTGGCGTCCATGGGAACTGTGCTTTCACGTGGGCACCACGTGTCTTGTCTCAGCTGGATTGTAGGGGGACTTTCACATTGGAGACTAGAAAACACCACTTCATGACTCCCACCATGCCAGCACAAGTATTTCCACAGCAAATACTCACATGCTTGTAGGATTGATTGAAACACTGGACACTGAGGTTGTTTAACTTGGACTTGAAGTGCAGACCTCACCATCTTGCTTGACACTTCAAAATTTATAGCGGGTTTTGCATATTTTAGGAGCACAAAAGTAGACTCAGCAAAGAGATGAGTTGACAGCATGGGTGAAGTAGAAAAAAATCAGGGCCGTTTCAGTAAACGTGTAGCCTCTAGGTGTACTAGAGGCTACAACTCATTTTTTCCACGAAAGTGTAAAGAGCTCCCTTGGGAAGAAATATTGTTGAGTGAGGAGCACATTCCCAATCTGAGGAGTATTTGGGGTGAGGTCTGCCACCTTCTTTTCTGATGCTCCTACTTCTACGTATTCTTCTGACGACTTCTATCTATTAGGAAAGAGAATACAAAGGATATCTGTTCCTTCTTCTCAATTCAAGTAGAAACAACCCCAAGTTATAGTCCAAATATTTGCACATTTTCTTTTAAGTAGTTTTTTGTCCTGTTCTCTCCTACAGTTTTTTCTGTTTCCTATTTTCAGCAGCCTCTGAGTCATCTGTAATTTTATATCCCCTCATTAACAATACATTGATATTTGCCCTAATTTGCAGATGAAGTCACCAAATCAGAGTGCAGCGAGGGGTGCCTGAGGTTTGGTGCCTGGCCCCCAACAGGGGTAGCCCTGGAGTTTCCAGCTTGTTGATTGGTCACTGGACCGAGCTGTGGGCACACAAAAGAAGCTGCACCCACTGCATTCTGTTGTGGACGGTTGCTGAGCTCTGCGTGCATTGTTAGGATTGCTTTGTTCCCTGGAAGGCCCAGCATTTTCTTTCTCCAGTTGGGGCAGGCCTGTGGGCTTCTGCCCAGTCCCCTCCCCTGCACTTTAAATACTGAAGATAGAAGATGTGCTTTGGAGAAGCTGTAAGACTGTGACAACCAGAAGAGTGGGTGTCCATTTCATGTGCATGGTCTCCAGTTGCAAAGCCAGAGTTAGTGACAACGTTGTTTAGCTGTAATTAATGAACTTAGATCTAGGAGGAGGAGCTTTTGCTTTTGGCTGGGATAGGCTGCCTCTCACAGCTATGTTCAATTTGGGGAGTTCAGGTGTTATTTTGTTATAAAAGCTGGGTGCTAAAAAAGAGTAGTGTACCTTTCCTAAATCGTCCCCTCATCAGATCATTACTCCCTGTGGAGTTTTGTTATGATTTATATAAACTGTGGGTAAATAATTCAAGCTACTGTGGGTGGAAAAATCTTGTTTCAGAGCTTTACAGTCTGTACTGAACCCTAAGCAGTGTAGGTTGTTGGCTTCATGATAGGTTCTTGGTCATTTTCAGAAAACTTTTGACTCTTCGAGATCCGTTGGGAACAGTTGAAGAAATACAGGAAAATAGGTAAATATTTTCCTATATTTACCTTATGGTGTGGGGGGATAAAATGAATGTTATGGGCCGGCTGCTAAGTTGTAGTAGCAATCTTAGCAGCAGCAACACACCAACCGAATGAGTAATGGACCCCATTCATTGGAGAGATACAAGAGCCTCTGTGAGTCAAGGGCGCATGTGGGAGCTGAGGAGGTATACTTGTGGGCTGATTATCCAGCAAGAAGCTCAGGCTTGTTAAATGACTATGCATTCATGCCAAGCGGGCTGGCACTGGCACATGCTGAGCACAGCTGCTCAGAAATGGGAAGCTAGCTTTGCCTGTGGCTCCAAAGGTTACTCTCCTCTTTGCTTCCTTCCCAAAGTCTGTTGGAATAGAAACTAAAGGTTAGTTTCAATTGAGAATTTTCTTAAAATTCTCAGAACACTCACGCTGTCTTCACATCTGCCAATAAGAGTTCTCTGTTGCTGTTAAGCCTCCATTTCCTTCAATGTCTGATGCAGTAGGCAGAAGAGGCTTTCGCCTTCAGAGGTGGGCCGTTCTCGAAAGAGCACCATTAGGGCTGAGAGGAAGTGCTCCCCCTCCCCCAACCAATGAAAGTGGTTTTGCAAAGTTTAGGCAGATGCCAGCATCAGAAACTGATGTTTGCTGCTGTCTTTCTTACCCTACTGAGAGCATCTGGTCCATGACCAGCCAAAACGATGGGGGGAATTGACTGATAATTGGTCTCTCCCTAACAGAAGTATTTCTCACCTTTTTGATGATTTTATATTATAACCCTGAAGGTACTACTTTCAGTACATTCTGCCAGTCTCTATTCTCTTCTTTTGTTTTCTTTTTTAACACTGGTAGTGACTTCCTAACTGGAGCTAGGTGTTTTAAAACCTATGCTGTAGGGGATAAGATAGTCCCTGTGCAAAGTTTCAGTGGGGCTTGGCTCTGAGCTCTGGTCCTCCTTGGACTTTTTATATGCCTGGCCTTTGCAGTTATTGCCCTAATGTGGCGTAATCATGGGGGGATGGGAAATACAAGGTCTGACAATTAAGTTCACGAACTCATCCTAGAAAAAGTGCTACATACCTCATTGTTCAACATCACTATGGTCACCTTTGAAGTACTCCCCTTGGCAAGTTATGCACCGACGCCAGCGCCTATTCCACCCTTCAAAGCAATTTTGGAACTCTTTTTCTGGAATTGCCATCAGAGCTGTCGTCATATTATCCTTAATGTCCTGAATTTCATCAAAATGTCTTCCTTTCAATATTTCCTTTATCTTCGGGTAAAGAAAGAAGTCATTGGGGGCCAGATCAGGTGAGTAGGGAGGGTGTTCCAATACAGTTATTTGTTTACTGGCTAAAAAACTCCCCCACAGACAGTTCCCTGTGAGCTGGTGCATTGTCGTGATGCAAGAGCCATGAATTGTAGGGGAAAAGTTCAGGTCGTCTAACTTTTTCATGCAGCCTTTCAACACTTTCAAATAGTAAACTTGGTTAACTGTTTGTTCAGTTGGTACAAATTCATAATGAATAATCCCTTTGATATCAAAAAAGGTTAGCAACATCAGCAACAAGTTTGCGAACTTCATTGTCAGACCTGGTATGGTTGGATGCAAAAGACCTGAAGTAGGGAAGAAAGCCCCACAGCCAAGGTTAGGAGGATACTACAGGATGTTCTCAGTGTGTGCAGTGGTTTCATATCAGGTGCAAAGGGTGGGGGACGTGAGGATTGGGTCTTTGGGCACAGAAGCAGAGCCTTTGCCCTGGGGCTTGTGATGTGGGCTTGGCTATGCAGCCAACCCAGACCATGTACAGCTTGCATTGTCCTTTTCCTGTCAATCTGTTGAAAGCCCAGGATACTGATGTGTTAACCCTGAGAGGAGAGCCTACTTCTCCAGGCAAAAGGATGTGTTTTACTTGTGGTAGGCACTAGGGACAGAATCCTTGAGGGAGGAAGGTGCTATCTAGTCTCCTAGTGGTGGAAGAAAAGGGAGGACATGTGACTGGCTGGGCACCCTGACCCCCAGTTCTTTCTAAGATGACCGGCTGTTTGAGTGAAAGGCGGCCCCAGCATGATGCTTTGCACCAACATTCAGAGGATGCCTACTAGGTGTCAGGCGCTAACCTGGATGCTGAGGGTAGGCTCTCTACAACATCGTGCCTTTCATCAAGGAGTTCACATTAGTGTAATTAGGGGCGGCAATTAAATAAAAAGTCTCAGTACAGGAAGATAGGTGTGAGAAGGTGATGTCTAATACAGATCAGAAACATCATTGGTAGCGGGGTGGTGGCCCCAATTCAGCCTTCCCAGAGACGGATGTAGAACTCAGTCAGGGTTAGTACACTTCTTATTAGCAAGGGGGCTTGCCAGGCCACAGGACTGCTGGTACAAAAGCTGGCGTGTATGGAACAGTCAGTGTGGTTTAGCTTGCAGCCAACAATTTGGTATTGTCCATGCTTGGAAAGCGTCTGAAGAGGTTTAAAGAACTTAGGTAGTCTCATAGTTAAGTCTGAGTTTTAGAAAGGTCGCTTTGATTGGAGAGTTAGAGGGGTAGGCCAGGGATCATTTAGTCTGCTGCCCTGACCCGAGAGGTGATGATGACATGAAGGGGTGAAGAGAGATTTCAAAGAAGCAATTCCCAGGATTAAATAACTGGATATAAAATGGAGGAAAAGGAAGACTACTTTCAGATTTCTGACATGGATGCATAAAGTGCAGGCAGACGTAAATAAGGAAAAAAAGGAAACAGCAGGTTTTAGGGGAGAAAACCGTAGAATGGGTTAGAAATGGCAGTTGCGTACCCCCGTGTGTCAGTAATTATCTACTTCTATCTATATATCTATGTATATGCCCATTTAATTTGCACAAAGACTTTGAGTTAAACGGTGTTATTCCAGTGTTTCAGATTTATGGGTTAGATGAATGATACAGTACAATAAACAGTAGGTGACTAAGCCCGCATGGTGTTCAAATTGCCAGTCTACAAGCACGGTGTCTTTTGGTTATAATCTTACAGCTTCACAGGTTTGAACATGTTAAATTTGAGGTGCCTGTTGAGTTTCCAAATGAAAAAGTACAAAAAGAACGTGATTGTATAGATTTGGGTCTCACAAAGTCACTTTGATTAGAGAGAATTTGGACTATGCTTTTGAGAAACGTTTCTCAACCCCTTGATTAGAAAAAAAAAGTCTTACTCTAATTCCTGGTTTGCCTGGGGTAAGCTTTAGTGTTTTGTTTTGTTTTTATACTATTAGGAAGTTTCTTTTCATCATTCATCTATTTCACCTTGAACTATTTATTGGGTTGTCGGAAAAGTCATGATGCATTTTTGCAACGAAAAACAGGAAAAATATGTCATGACTTTTCTGACAACCCAATATATAGCTCCTTTCATGCTGGCTATATTTCAAAATAATATATTCATGGATATATCCATTTGAGAGATTTGAATTTTAAGTATATGATAGCCATTTTAGAGGACTTTTTCGGTTTGGTTTTTTTAAGGTTGAGAAGAGAAAAAGGTCTGTTTTCTGACTATGAAGACAATGGACAATGTTTCTTTCCCGTTCCCTCTACTCTCCTAAAGGAAACAGCTCTGTGCCTCTACTAAGTACTCGCTTCCTCATCACCTCTTGTCCAGATCAGTCTGGTTACATGTACTTTTTCAGGAACTAAGAGTAGTTTGCTTTTTTTGGTAACTCATTAACCCATGCATTTGTCATCTTCTCTCGTCCTCACTTTATTAGGTCACACTTAACTTTCAAAAGGAAGTACATGGGATAGCTGCCTGAGGCCAGTCACCGACCTTAATGAAGGATGCCCGTGTGGAAACATTGTGATGTGCCAGTGTCCACATTCTACAGCGTCTTCCGTTCTTTGTGATCTTCATACAAATGGTATTAAAGGAAAATATTTTGTGAAGTAGGAAGCTCCTTGCACATTTTTAATGACCAACCTACGTTAAGATGGACATCTGTTCTACAGAAGACCAAGTTCTATGGTCTCAAAGAAGCAAATGCCCTTTTCACACTGATCCTCAATAAAAAAACAATGCACATCAGAATGTTCGTGAGTGGCAGAATAAAAAAACGTCAGTTTGTTCAGTTATTTGCTACTTGCTTTATTCTAAGCCTCATGTTTTTTTTGGAACCATTTGATAATCACATTGTGAGCTATATGAAGTCCTACTCTTACAGATACTTCATAAATAGCTACGACTTTGTGAATGAGAGCCTGTCTGTGAAGCGCAGCAAGCATGGAGCCCCTCGCTACCAATACTTGATTAACCACGAGGAGAAATGTCAAGCCCAGCACGTCCTCCTCTTACTGTTTATAAAGACGGCTCCCGAAAACTACCATCGACGGTCTGCAATTAGGAGAACATGGGGCAATGAGGAGTATGTGTGGTCTCAACTTAATGCCAACATCAAAACTCTGTTTGCCTTAGGAACACCCTCTAATCCACTGAGGAAAGAAGAACTGCAAAGGGAACTGGTTTGGGAAGACCAAATGTACAATGATATAATTCAGCAAGACTTTGCTGATTCTTTCTATAATCTTACTCTTAAATTACTTCTGCAGTTCAGTTGGGCAAATACCTTTTGTCCACATGCCAAATTCCTTATGACTGCAGATGATGACATATTTATTCACATGCCAAACCTTATTGGATACCTTCAAAGTTTAGAACAAATTGGTGTTCAAGACTTTTGGATTGGTCGTGTTCATCGTGGTGCCCCACCTGTCAGAGACAAACGCAGCAAATACTATGTCTCCTATGAAATGTACCAGTGGCCAGCTTACCCTGACTATACTGCTGGAGCTGCATATGTGATCTCCAGCGATGTAGCTGCCAAAGTCTACGAGGCCTCACAGACACTTAACTCTAGTCTTTACATAGACGATGTGTTCATGGGCCTCTGTGCCAATAAAATGGGGATAGTACCACAATACCACGTGTTTTTCTCTGGGGAAGGTAAAACTCCTTATCACCCCTGCATTTATGATAAAATGATGACATCTCATGGACATGTACAAGACCTTCAGGACCTATGGGAGGATGCCACAGACCCTAAAGTAAAGACAATTTCAAAAGGTTTTTTTGGCCAAATGTATTGTAGGATAATTAAAATAGTTCTCCTTTGCAAATTGACCTATGTGGACACGTATCCTTGTAGGGCTGCCTTTGTCTAATAGTACTTGAATATTATATGTTCTTACTGTCACTGAGCCAAACCTGGATTAAAAAAAACAAAAACCCTTTAAATGTTTGTCTACACCCTAAGTGAAATGACTATGAAAAACAAAGAAATATTTTGAAAGCCTATTCTCTCAGAATGTTTCTTTGATTCTAGAAGCTATTTATTCAATATCTACTTCATTGCCTAAACCCATTTCAAGGAATTTGTACTTAGAAAAGGTTTATGAAAACCAAGCTAAAGGGAAATTCAAATTCTCAATGCCACATGTATGTTTGAGGTATAGAGACGTTATTAAGGAGCCTTGGTATTAGAATAACTGCTTTTGGGAAATACCAAGTGGCTGTAGATAGAGTACAGCATTTCAAAGAAATGAATATATTGTTAGATTAGGTATACAAGTTAAATTTTTATTAAAGAGCACTTGATGGAAATTCTGGGGGTAAGGGAAGGTTGGCATAGAAAAAATATGAATCTGATAAAAGTCCATGTTCTTTAGAGGAGATTTAGGGAAATGTACAGCAAGTCCTCAAATAACCTGATTTTGTTAAGCATCATTTTGTTACAATGTTGATAAAATGCATAGGAACTTAACTTTTGTTTATGTCAATTAGCCTATTATAATATTGTTTCATTATACATTATTTCACACAGTTCCAACAAGCTAACAACAATGTTAAGTGCGGATTTACTGTACACAATTTCTTTATAAACAGCCAAATCATTTATTGCCGCAACCATATAGTTATTTTACCAAGATAGTGTTGAGGTCATTTAAAACATATTTATCTTTTTTTTCAAAGTTTAATGTAAAATTTGAGAAATCATTAGCTCTGCCCTAATTGGTACTTTATATGGTTTTTTGTTTGTTTTTTGATTATTAGAAAATGACAAAACTTGGGCAGTTTGTTACTCGTAGGGTCGTTCTGTAGGGAGAAATCATTGTTTGTTCAAATAAGCTTATTTTAATTCAATGAATTTTTCAACTGGTTTTTAAATATCAATATCAGTCTGTTTTTAAGGTAGTTATTTGATTGTAGTTTGCATAGAGGGATGTAATTATGGAGAAGACTTCAAAAGGAAAGATAGAATATTAAAAGCACCTTTTCTCCATAATTGATAAAATAAAATTCTTAGTGTCTAAATTATTGTAATGATTACTAAAATTAACCCACCCCTCCCCAATAAGGTCTCATAAACCATAGTACTTTGTTCCAAGTTCAGTTTTAAAATTGAGAGTATTAACCATCACATCAAAGCTATAGTATCTTTAAAAATGTATTCTTTAATCAAAATAACTATCAGAGGTATTGTCAACTTTTAAATATTTCAAATATGAAGGCAGAATGAAAGACAGAAAAGTTGCCAGAATGAGATATAAAGCATTTGTAAAGCCACGTGTTCCTTGTAATCAAAGAGGTGGCTAGGATCTAATAGCGTAAGTTACATTTATTTTACAAAGCAGGATAGAAATGTGGCTAAAATGCAAACAACCTCTCCTCAAGATAGGAAGTACTAGGTGATGTCTATTACAGGGATATATAAAGGCCAAAATAATGACTTCAACAAAAGCAGTTGAACTGATTACAGAACCTTTGTCTGCAGAGGCACCTATTAGGAAAAACTAAGATGTTTTATTTAATTAGATGATGTTTCAAACATGCAAAACAAAACAGAGCTCAAAAAGAATCCTTAGTCAACACTACTGGATGATGACATATAATTTTTTTGCAGGTAGCTTTTTAATGTTTACAGAAATGTTTTGTTATTTTTTTCTATTTTGGAAATTGAGGCTTGTTTACATTGATTGCTCAGATAATTTAGAATTTTTTAACTAATGTCAAAACTAGTGTCAACCATTCTAGTTTATAATTACTTTCAGAGTAAGTTCCGGGTTTTTAGATCATTACAATCTAAATTTTCTGACCAATTAAAAAAACTAGAGAACAAAATCACATTTTGACAAAGTAGATTCATAATTAATTTTTATTAGTTGATTCTTTAATAGCCGTTTGCCTTCTGGCCATACCTACCCTGTGTGTCTATACTTGTAACTGTTTAAATTCACTATTAGTTGAAAACATCAGTGTCACTCTGGCCATCAAAATGATCTTGTTTACAGCAATACTTTTATGAAAATTATTTATTTGCGAAAGTGCTCCCCTCAACTGTGTTCGTCTTTTTATTTTTACTTAGAATAGAATGGTCAGATTTAAATTTAAAGGAAAGATGAAGGCACTTCCTTTTTAAATAAGGAAATTGCTAGATGCTTCCTTCATCAGACTTAAAGTACTGGGAAGAATATTTGTAAATACAGTAAAAGGATTTCAACCTTTTAAAAAGGAAGGAAAAAACCTTTTTGGTGCTCCAATGTAGGACTGTCTTAAGAATTGAAAACAAGGGGAAAATAAACTATCAGCCTGGATGGTCACTTGAGTAGAAGACGGTTGTACTCAGTGTTATTGCTAAAACCTTTTTACCTCTTGGTTGGTTTGCATCTTTTTTTCCATATTATTAATTTTATACCAAAATGTTAAGTATTTATATTATTTGAATTTTGCTCTTATATGGCAAAATAATTAGTGGTTTTTAAAAAAATAAATCTGTGTTTTCCAATAAACAACATGAAACTTGTTGGCAGATGTGTATTTTCACGAGGGTTTTTAAACGCCTGTGTGAACATCATTTGTTTATATAATCCACTTGTTCTGTTTAATGTCAGAGAGGCCTGCAATACACAGTCTTAATCCTACGAGTATTGCTGTTGTGACTTGCTCCTTTGCCCAGTATAGAAGATGTGTTCTCTGCATTACGAGCCACCTAAAATGCCTCTTTTGTTTGTTAAATGACTTAGGCCGGAACGTCTAAGTAAGGGAGTTCTCCTAATGGATGGTTCGGGAAGGGATGAAATAAGAACCTGGAGCCATAGTGCCTTAAGACACCATTTGAAAAGGTCATAGTGTCCTTTTACTTGGTATCATTAGCTGTCTGAAAATAGATTCAAACTTAGCTGTCTCTTAATGTCAGGAATGTTCTTAGGCTCACTTTGGAGTGTTTGGTGCTAGTATACAAGGATTTCTACATAGTATGTTCCCATCTGCTCTTCACCAGATTCCTGCTTACTTCTTAGAATGGTAGATGGTGTCATTCAATCAATATATATCATTTAAAACTTGGAAGCAGCTCAGTAATTTGGTTGTAGTAGAACATTTTATTTGCAGGGCATAGTTGGGGTATCTGTGGTTGGGACTGAAATGATGAACAAGTGGAAGAATTCGTTAACCTGACCTATTCTGGGACTTGAGTTGAACACCATAGCTGCAAAGAAAATCAGAACAGAGAACTTTTGATATGTGGGGCTATTTAAGCTGCTGGAGTAAGGAAAGAAATGTCAGGTGTCTCCCTGACTCTGTTTCCCTATAGTCACTGCATGGTGCATTGAGACAAGCCTCAATCACAGCTTGCTTTACGATAATCCTTTGCTCCAGACCTCAAAGGCTCCTGACTGCCTCCAGCATCAAATCTAATCTTTCCTACTTGCTTTTCAAGGCCTTTTGTAATCTTCCTTTCCTTCCTCATTCCCTGTAGCTTTATTTTTCCTACTGCCACTGTTATCCAACACAAATCTCATTCATGACCATACCTGTGTTAGTTTGTTTCCCTTGCAGGAACACCATTTCTCCAGTACCTGGTGAAATTGTGGAAATACAACCCTAACTGCTCTTCCATTAAGCATCTCCTGCCCACCCTCCAAAATATACTTAATCACCTATATTATTGTGCTACCTACGAATTGTTTCATGTGGTTTTTCCTAACTAAAATATAAGTTCTGAAGGTAGGGACTGTGCACAGTACTCTCACATAGTGCTTAAAAATCATTACTTCAAATATAATAATGTTATTCTGGCAAGCCATCCAAATATGAAAAGAGGTTAATTATTCAGAGCCCTAAAGGACACTGTCTGATATAACATTTTACCTAAACTACTTAAAAGTTTATAATTATTTGACAAAGTCTGAATGCTTACTGTATGCCAAGCATATTGTATCTATCAACTCGAGCCCCGACAAATTTGTATTAGTTTTGCACAAAACCTCAAATCTATAAAATCAAAAGTGAATAAGGAAATATAAATTAAACTGTTACAGCAAAGATTAGTGATTTTAAGGTATTCAAAGCTAGTGGTAAAATGAAAACAGTCATCTTATAGATTCTCCTATCCCTGCTTAACCCATTAGCTAATTTTGCCTTTTCTCAAACTTATTTTGCAAGAGTCATAAAAGATATTTTTGTTTCATTAAATGCTGTAACTTTAACTTTATATTTTCTCATTAGAAGTATGATTTTAATGGTCTGTAAATTAATACAATAACCCATCAACTAACTTAAAGAACCCACTTAACTAAGACTTTTTAAAAAGACATAATTCTCAAAGTAAAATTACAATTATAAAAGTAGGTATGGATTCGGCCGAGTGGCTCAGTTGGTTAAGAGCTCGCTCAAGAGTTTGAGCTCTGAGAAACAGCAGTTCGATTCCTGGCCTGAGCTGAGCAGCCACTGAGCTGCCAACAGGTGGCAGGAGGGCTCAGCTTAAAAAAAAAAAAAAAGTAGGTATGGATTGTAGTAATAGAAAAGTCCTAAAAGATACACAGTCACTCGAGGAAAACAACAGAACACATTGCCAAGCACTTTTTCAGAGACAACCTAACTAAACATATTTTCAAATATCGCTGAATTGGATCATTTCCTATAACTCAAAGATACATTTCAGTCAGTAAGAGCCCCTATGTTTCCTTGAGTACACCTTAAAGTGAAAGAATATAAAGTAGTCTTAATTAAACTAATAGTGGCTTTAATCAAGGAGTAAGTACCTAAAGATGTTTGTTCATTCTACAGGCATTTTCTTTTGGAGACCTACTAAAAACTAAACTTTATGATAGACCCTGGGAATAAAAGCAACTCATAAGACAATAAGTCAAACAATGTGATGAGTGCTAGAACAGAGGTAATGTTAGAGAGTCTAAATACAGAGAAGATTTTTTTAATAAATGAATTTCCCCTTATGCTTTAGGTCTTTGCCACCAAACTGCTAAACATTTACATGCATTGCAAATACCTTCCTGTGGGGCAAAAATAACATTAGGTTTGTATAAATTGTGTCTTTTAGGAACCTATTGCCTTTAAATGTGTTTAAACCAATAATTCAATTAATATCAACAGTAGTTTATTTTCTTGATAATTCATTTTTTTAAAAAAACATTGAGTATCCTTGGAAACTTGGTTTATAGGATGTCATTTTCAGTTCTTGTTACTTTTATGAGATCCATGAGTTTTGTTCTCAGGTATATAAATGAAGGTTAGTAGATAGAATAAATGTGTGATTTTCTCTGGGAAAGACAAGTGATGTGATTTAAAATGGAGGATAGGATACTCTACCCTCCACCCCCTACCACTCCAGAAGGAGGTAAAATGACTTCTACAAAGGAAGCTGCAATCTTACCTGATGGGGGAAAGATTTTCTGGATGGTCTAGCTGCTCCCGCTCAGGGTTCTCCCCATCAAGACTGCTTTCAAGTATTTCTTCATTCTGAAGTAAAAAGTTTTGGTAAGATAGTGTATCTTATTTGTAGGGGAGCTCTAAAACTTTATCTTTCTTTCCTCCATTTTTTTGGTCCGGTATTGTTTTTGTTTTTAATTCTCTAGATGGGCATGATATCCAGTTTTTCATCTCTTTTCTTTCTTGGGTTTTCCCCAATCATGCTGTGGATCTGTTATAGTTGGCCCTTCCGGCTTCCTTTAGGAACATGGAAAACTCATTCTGAAAGCAGGTATCCCTTTTCCTCAATGATGGATCATTAACATTATTCTCTTCCCCTCCCCCCACCATGATTCACAGAAAAGATCCAGAGTTTGAACGATAAGATAAAGAGATCATTTGACAAAATATCTCCTTTTTAAAAATGTATTATTAGTTTCAGGTATACAGAACAATGCAATCGTTATCCTTTACACCCCTCACACAGAAACAACCCCCCCCCCCCAATCTGCTGCCCTCCCACCCCCGATATCATACTTTCTCTCTCTCTCTTTTGGGTAAAAAATCAAGGTCTAGAGAAGTTGCAACCTGCCCAAGGCCAGAAAGAGCTAGAGGCAGAGATGAGATAAGCCCGGAGTCCATTTCACAGGCTGGCAATCACATGTCTGTTCTATCACCCTGACCCCTAAAGCATCTGGGTCCTTAGGAAGTGCGCGAAGTGCAACCAGGGCAGGCTCAGGCCCGCTGGTGGTCGGGAGGCTGCACCACCACCTGCCAGCTCTGCGACCTTGGGCAAGTTCACTGAACCTCTGCCTTGATATCCTCCCCCGAACAGGGACCGCATAGCACTGTCTACTACAGTAAGGCTGTGGCTCTTTCTCAGCACAGTAGGAGGCATTTAATTCTCAAAAAGAGGCAAGGCTCCTACTCAGTTGGCTTTCAAGAAAATATCATTTGAACAAGGAAGTGAATTTGTATAACATTGATCGCAAGGAGAGCATCATAAAAGTATTAACTAAGAATGAACAAGGAGATAATTAGCCAGCATTTGAGTTCTGCCTGCTAGGTTCTGTTTAAATGAGTTATTTTACATTCTCACAAGAGGGAAGATAGATTTAGAAAGGACCGACTTGAGAAAGTATTGTTAGGGAAAAGCTGAATGAGTAAACATAAGGATTCCTTGTAAATGAGAGGTGGAAGCTGAAAGATGAGCTTTCCCCAGACTGGATGAGATGGAACAGATGGGAAGTCTTGCAAAATAGGTGAGACTGACATGCTTCTCAGTCTGTTGGCAGAGGAGGGAGGCCTCTCCCTGGATTAACAGGAAGCAGTCGAGGTAAGCTTTATTACCCACAATGCTAACTGCAGAGACAGCAATTCAAAAATGTTCAGTGGGTGAAAGAAAATTGGGGGTCTTCAATGTTTTTTATGGATGTCTTCCCAAATCTGGCATCAGATCCAGAAGGCAAGCTAACACAGAAGGGAGTATTTGGGACACTAGTTGCTAATTCAGCTCTAAAATACACAGGAAATCTTACATTCCAAGTTCATATATTTTTTTTCTTTTAAAATAGGATGTAATTTCCATAAGAAACTAAATTTTTAGTTTCCTCTATTACATATATTTGACCAGAGACTAGAATATATTTTTCATTTCAGTTAATACAGAAATAAATACTAATCCTTGGGATTCAAACCAATCGAGCTATTTTCACTACACTACCAAAGCTGTTTCTTCCCATTTTCTAGATAATGTTGAACTAATTACTAGTTAATGTTACAATGCATCCCTTTCTAGTTCCTCCTCTGTGGCATTATTGTGCCTGAGACACCTGCTGAACTTTGAGCCCCAGCCTTATTTATCTTTGGATCCCTACCACACAATACAGGGCCTTCATATAGAGTAACCACTGTTATATACAAAACCTCTTCTCATTGCTACTACATATAAAATGAATTGTGCTCTTTCCAACTCTACTGATCTATTGCTAATGTGGTGGGTTGTAGAGTCTCTTATTTCATGACAACCTAGTGATGGAAAAATAACAATGACTCAAGGTGTAGGTACAGACTTTGTTATCTTTTACACTGAGTGTTGACATCCCTGTAATTTATAGACTTTGTCATCTATGAGATGCCCTCATGGGCTTGCTGAAATGCCTGGGCATGGACTTGGCTGTATCAACTCATGTTCCTGTGACCACATGTCAGACAACTGGTGTCAGGTTAGAAGGAGAGTCCTCTGCCAACCAAGGTGGATGGAATATAACACTGGTACCCCTGAGATGTGATGGGAAGGACCCACAACAGATCTGAGGACTGCTGTAATAAAATCCTGCGGTGAGGAATAACTCAGAGATATTATGGGTTCAGCGCCAGACCACACAGTGAAGTATTGAAATAAAGCAAGTCATAATCTTTTTGCTGGGGTGGGAGTGGGGGTCTTGCCTTAAATTTGTAAAAAATGGAACATCTGTGAAGCACAATAAAGTGAGGTATGCCTGTAGAATGTATAACAATGTTTTACTAAGGCTTAGATAAGTTGTGTTCTAGTGCAGTGGCTTTCAAGTTCTGACCACACCCACAAGAAAAATGTTTACATCGTGATACACACACATATTGTGATTTATAATAAGAAACATATACTTGGTCTTTGTCCCGTTTCTAGCACAGAGCTCCTAAAACCCTTGGAGTCTTGTAAATGATAAGAACAATAAAGATGTCTTCATATTCATATGAAACCCCTTTCCACCACAGGTGAGTTTATGTTAATGATGTGACTTTTGGAAAGGACCTAAGGATGGGGGCTGGTTACCAGGGGAACCAACCATGTAATTAGAGGGTTGGAACTTTCAGATCTGGCCTCCCCCCTGCCCCCCAGGAAGGGGAGAGAGGCTGGAGATTGAGTTCAATCACCAGTGGCCAATGGTGTAATCAATCATGTTTATATAATGAAACTCATAAAAACTCCGAAAGAGAGCTTCCAGGTTGCTGAACACGTGTGGCTTGGGGGAAAGTGGCTTGCTCAGACAGCATGGAAATGCCACTCCCCTTCCTACATACCTTGCCCTGTGCATCGCTTCCACCTGGCCATTCCTGAATTATATCCTTTTTATCATAAACTGGTACTCTTGTAAGTAAAATGTTTCTCTGAGTTCTATGAGCTCCTCTAGCAAATTAATCTAATCCAAGGAGGGGGTCCTGGGAATCTCTAGTCTACAGCTGATGGGTCAGAAGCACCAATGACAACCTGGACTTGTGACTGGTGTCTGAGGGGGTGGGGAGAGTTTTATAGGACTGAGCTCTTAACCTGTGGGATCTAATGCTATCTTCAGGTAGATAGTGTCAGAATTGAGTTAATTGCTTGGTAGTGTTGGGGCAAATACACACACACACACACACACACACACACACACTCACAACAGACATACTGTCAACCTAAAAACCTAGGAGGCAATAATTGGGATCAAAGGAATTGAAATTTAGGAAGTACAGATGCAGCCAGAAGCCCAAAAAGTGTCCCCCACCCATTGCAGGAGAGGGGCTTAGGGTTTTTATGGGAAAAGGGAGGAAGATGAGGTAAATTATATAAAAGAAGAGTTTTTTGCTATTAGATAAGGTTAGGCTTGTATTTCATAGAATGGCTTGAGATTTGGTAACCAGACATAAGGCTAGATTTGTGCTTCATTAATTAGGTTTGTTATTGGCAAAGTCCAATTTCATCAGTCCTTACAAACAGGATATTCCCGTACTTACTGACTTCTTGGAATGTTGGCAGTTTGGTCCAGTTCAGAAGATAAAGAAAATAAGAAGTGTAGGGCAGTTCCTCTGAAATGGCTACTCTGGTTCTAATTTAATATGGCTCCACTCATGTCATCTTTCACATACATAAAACTGATATGAGACACTCTATTTTTACTTTTTAATTACAGTTGACATTCAACATTATATTAGTTTCACGTATATAGCATAGCCCTTAGATACACTCTTTTTTAATTATACTATCCCATTGCTTGCCTTCCTCTCTCTCTCTCTCTCTCTCTCTCTCTCTCTCTCTCTCTCTCTCTCTCTCTCTCTCTCTTTCTTTCTTAAGATTGAATTGGGGAAGGGGAACAGCCAAGTTGTTGTCCTTCAATCTTAGTTGTGGAGAGCACAGCTAGCTCAGCTCCAAGTCCAGTTGCCATCCGGTGCCCATCGGCAGCTCGCAGCCGCTCAGCTCAAGGTGCTGTGTTCAGTCTTAGTTGTGGGTGGGCGCAGCCCCCCATCCCATGCGGGAGTCGAACTGGCAACCTTGTTGTTAGGAGCACATGCCCTCACCAGCTGAGCCATCCTGCCACCTGTTGGCAGCTCAGCGGCAGCTCAGCTTGGGCGCAGCTCACTGGCCCACGTGGGAATCAAACCGGCCACCCTGTTGCCCAGAGTTCGTGCTCTTAACCAACTGAGCCACTCGGCCAGCCCTCATTTCTTTATTTTTAAATGCTGGTGAACCCATCAAACTGAGTTCACTATCACCCTTGTCACCTGCAATTTGAAAGCCCCTTGAAGAGTGAAAAGAACACAAACTTAGGTGTGAGAGGCAGAACTGCGTGGGAACCCCTGGCTTCCTTTTTATTTAAAAGTGGCCTTGGGACGATCTCTCTGCACTTTAGTTCTGTATCTATAAAATCAGTCTGATTACATCTACATCAGAGGGCTGTTGTGTTGATAAGAGATTATGTATTAAAATGCTTAACACAAAGAAAAGACTCAATGGCATTTATAGTTGGCTCTTTAATATCTGCTTAGTGGGGATTAAAATGGATATAATGTATGTAAAGTATGCAGCACGCTGACCTTCAGTGATTGCTGGGCAATTTCTACTGGCTCACGTACAGCACAGACCCCGTATTTCTCACTAGCTGGGAGATGTTGCCCAAGTCACTTAATCTCCCTGGGCATCCGTTTACTTCTGTGTAAAATGAGGGAGATGTGTGATTTGGCTATGAAACGTTACTCTGCTTCTAATACAAAATACCAACATAGTGCTACTAATTCCGGTTTTGAGATGAAAG